AAACCCAAACAGATCATTTAATCTATTGGTATATAAAGATGTTATTGGTTATTATTGATAGCAGCAACAATTCCTATAATAATTAATTACTAACAATAAAGTATTGTTGTTAATAATAATAATAATAATAGTTGTTGTCCTGCAGTTCTNACTTTGGTGACTGTGAAGAGTAAAAACTCCCTCACTTACAGGGAGAAACCTGCAGCAGAACCAGGTTCAATGTGGACGGTCATCTGCCTCTACTGGTTGGGGTGAGCAGAGAAAAATGGGGAGAGAAGAGAAATAGTGGGGAGGGGGAGGCGAGAGAGACCGGAACACTTGAGCGCCATCAGGTATCAGCTCTGACTAGTTAAAATGTAAACAATAACAGTGTAAAGAAGTTATTGATTATCAATGATAGCAGCAACAATTAATATTAAGTATTGTTGTTATTAATAATAATAATAGTTGTTGTCCTGCAGTTCTGGATTCAGAGATATCTGCAAAGAGAGAGAGAGACTGGGAGAAAAAAGAAACATAGTCACTGACATGTATTAAAATAAATAAATCAATGAATGTGGGGGGGCAGAGAGACAGAGAGAAGTGTAGAAGTGCTCAGTGCATGATGGGGAGTTCCCCCAGCAGTCTAGACCTATAGCAGCATAACTAAGGGATGGTTCAGGACTCACCTGATCCAGAACTAACTATAGGCTTCATCAAAAAGGAACGTTTTAAGTTTAACTTTAAATGCAGAGATGGTGTCTGCCTCCTGAACCCAGAGTGGGAGCTGGTTCCACAGGAGAGGAGCCTGGTAGCTGAATGCTCTACCTCCTGTTCTACTCCTACTGACTCTTGGAACCACAAGAGAGCCTGTGTTTTGGGAACGAAGTGATCTATCTGGATAATATGGTGTTATCTTTGATATATGAAGGGGCTTGATTATTAAGGGCTTTATATGTGAGGAGCAGGATCTTGAATTCTATTCTCCTCAATGCTGCTGCCAACTGGCAATTTCAGTAGAGTTTCCATGGCAATAACATGACGAGAGCAGAGAGACCAACAGACTGACGGTGGGTAGTGGTTGGAGTGGAGAGAGTGGTGTGTGCTTAATTGCACATTTCTGATCAGCAATGTGCAATATATGTGCTCTTGGTGTGCATCTTCATATGGTATATTCTTTATGTTACAGTGTGTGTGTGTGTGTGTGTGTGTGTGTGTGTAAACAATGACAATGATTTGATTGGCTGGTCAGAAATTCACCATGGTAACTATGCTCAATATGTGTTCGGCACACTGGAGTATGTGTGTGCATGTGCGAACACACAGACAGCAGCAGCAACCAATCTTGGTTGAGTCCTGCGAGCTGTCTGCAGAGGATGGTGTACAGTCTGGCAGTGGTGTGCACAGAGTCTCTGAGGGCCGTGAGTGGAGCCTAACTTCTACTGGATGCTGCTGGAACAGGATCTGGGACCAGTTTGGGACGACTGCCTAATTGACTGGATTCATCATCTCCGTCAGTGTGAAAATCTGAATCAGATATTAACATTTTGTGGAGCATTGAAAGTTATTTGTCATTCATTCTGTGACGTCTGTCTTGAATGACTTATTTGCCTGTTTAGGATGCATTTTAAATAAGGAGAGAGAGATGTAAGCAACATGGAAAGTGAGAGAAATTCAACAGTTGGTTGTGTGTAGGTACCACACAGTGAGAGTAGGCTATATAAACAGAGCAGAGGTGATTGATAGACATGCAAAAATATCAGGGTTTCATTGCCTGCTAACTTTTTCCAGGAAGAAACCTCTAGAACCAGACTCAGTGTGGGCGGACAGCTGCTTCGACCGGTTGGGGTGAGCAGAGAAAAACAGGGAAGAGAGGAGAGGTGGGTGTAAACGAAAGAGGGGGAGAGAGAGGAGAGACAGCAACTGAGAGAAGTTGTGCAAACGTCTAATTTATGCTCTGTCAGACTGCGAATATGTTATAATCACCCCCTGGGATAAAGTTTCCATTTGTTTTTTTTAGCAGTTGTGGTGGAAATTTATCTGGAGATGTGAAATAAAGAGTTTCTCAGACCAGAGTTGTCTTTGAGTCTTTAATATAGCTCTGCAGAGGGTTTCACACTCATGAACGCTCAGAGTGGAACCTCGAATAGTGAAAGAAGAAGGAAAACGTCTGCTTTTGCTTTTGCAAGAAACAGGACGTTTGCTAAAAGCACAGATAAGGGTCAACAAGAGGATCATGACTTTGAGGTTACATCAGCCAAGTGCACAGCAACACTCAGGGCATTTGATAGTTAAAGGTAAAAAAAGTATCAGTCTAGTTTTGAATCGTCTCTGCACGTACACCAGACAGTTCCTCTAATGCGAGCACAACTGTATTTCTATATGAGGAGTTATGTTGAACACAGCACACGAGCATTGATCAGATATTGGAAAGAGTTCAAGCAAAGTTTATATGTGAATTTTTTTCATTACACAGTATTACACAAAAACTACCGAGCCTGTTTTATTGAGACTTGGTGGAAGGGTGCGGGCCAATGAAAGAGTCTTTAGAGCTCTTTAATCAGAGAAGCATGCTAACAATAATGCGAATGAGAGCAGAGACACAAAACCAAACAGTGTAGTTACAACAGTAGAAACAACAGACAAACTCTGGGTTTATCACCTTGAGTGATTTCACATTTGTCCCATTGTGGATGTAAACAACCGATGAGCACAATTTGAGCAATCATTAGAGCAGAAAACAGTTAAAAACACTTTTTTTAAATGCGAGATGTACTATCTGCTGCACAGTAATGTTGCTCACAACAGGATATAACAAGTATTTTTCACAGATCGTCAGCTGAATAAGGCCTCACATCTACAAACATCCCTCTTATAATTATCATTATAACAACCTCAGACAGAGCTTAGACTTACACAACTGTTCCTGATCTCTCGTCTCTGCTGCAGCAGAAACTGTCCAGCTCAGTTGTCAAGGAAGAAAAGTTGCAGTTTACAGACTTTAGATGCGAGAGCAGTTTTCCAGCCGGTGTGTCGACTGAATCAGAATTTATTTAGACTAAAAGTCTAAACAGATCACGAACACACGACTTTGGGGCTGTAGCTCTTTGGTGCACTGTTCCTATAGTAACCATGTCACCTAGCTCCCAGGTGACCCTGGGAGAAAAAATGAAGCATGGGGGGTGTGGGACCCTATGACAGACATATCCTGCTCATAAATGTTTCTACAAACCTTGTCCTGAAGGCCGGGGTCAGTCCTGTGAGAGCACTCTTACAGAAAAATGTTCAACAGCAGCAGTCCACAGTTTTATTTTGTTGTGTCCAACAGGTAATATTTATCAGTGCGAATAAATTCAACTTTAACCAACATCAGGTCAAATGAAGAAGATTTACAGATATCCCCTTCTTTGTTTGCACTGTGGCAAAAAAGAACCAGGAGGAAAAGAACAGGATGTTTATTTACAGAGGCTTGCAGACGTTTTCATTACATTGACTTAAGAGCAGGTTCTCATCAATACAAATAATTTATCACAGTCTCTCTATCCCCTCTTGATTTTTGATGCAAATATGTTGCTGATGCTCTGACACAGAGCGGGTTCCATCTTGGTTGCTGCATGTCTCCCTCTATTTGTTTGCCATTAGTGTCAGATTCTGTCTTCCTCTCTGCTCCTATTTCTGCGGAGAAACAATGACCAAATCCGTGATCTTTGTTTCAGTTTCACTGGTTAGGTTGTACTTTGGTTCTGGGACACACAGCACTACTCCATGCTGTGTTTTGTTTCTTGTTTCTCAGCCATGCTGGCAGCACAGCTGTGTGCATGGGCGTGTTGGTCTATCTGGATCCATCAGTCCACCAGTGGATTCATAATCATTCATGTAAATCACAGGATGACTCCTGGTTGACTGTGGTGATTCTCTGACTTTTGTTTTTGGCATTATGTTCATGTTTGGGGTTTTGACTAAAATGCTATCACATCAATTGACACACGCACGCACACACACACACTCTTACATATAAATTGTATCTTCACTGATCCCTGGACTTTTCAGTGCCTCCATCAGATAAAAGTTGTCCAAATACTTAGTCACCAATAACACAAAACGTAAAAGTTTATGATTGTGTGATAAAATGCTAAACTAACATGGTTGGCATTATACCTCTGTCGACAAAGCTTTTGCTCATTGTAGGAACTATTGGGTTTCTCTATAATTTCACATAAATATGTTGCTGTGCTGTGAGGTGATGGGTTGAGATTTGGAGCTACACAATTAAAACTTAATTGAATTGAGTAATGAGTGAAGAGTCTGTGCTTCCTTTAGCTCAGTTCTTCCACAATCATTTCTTTACACAGGTAATGCTGATCATGTATTCTCTACCATGTGATACATGGCACAAAACCATTTACACTGAAATTTCAATTGTATCTATTTCAATTAGAAAAAAGTGACAATTCTATATAAATTTAGATGAATAGTTATAATTTGCCACCCTACTCACAACCTGTTAAGCCGGTGATAGTCTTTTGTTTATATGAGGGAAAATGTTCACATATTTGTTTGCTCATACTTATTACTGCTAATCTACAGTATATGTCTACTCAAATGAAAATAACGTCTTGGTTGTTTTTAGGCATTTACCAATTGGAATATCTGGATACGTTTTTTGCAGTGTCCACTGAGGGTCAGTGAGGAGTTATTTCTGCAGGAGTCTATCACATATCAATATTTACTGTAAACATGAGTGACGGCTATAGGATGTGTGTCCACAGTGACGGCAAGTATTAAACCAGAAGTCATTGGTATGTAGAATTGTAATTCCTTTCATTTGTGACTAGACAGCAGTGAAAACCATAACTTGAATAATAAAGTATCTTCACTGTTCCCCTCTCTCCATCCCCTGCTAGCTTTGGTTGCAGTTTCTCTAAAATTACGTCATGAACATCGTGAACTGACCTTTCAGTATAAAATCATTGACTTCCTGTCTACAGAATACTATACAAGTGAAAAGACTGGAGTCACAGTTGTGTTGTCCCAAACCTTTTATTTCAGCTCGCATAGCAGATCATTTACAGAAAACCGTAATACTTCAAATCTCCATTAACAGCCCATCATTGTCAGTACATAATAATTTAATCACCATGGTCATCGTCTACAGAACAGTATCAGATCTACACACTGAAGGTCATGATCGATGGACAACACTTTGAAAGAGATGGAGCAGTTTTATAAACCAAACTAATATTTCCCCACAATACCCCTGAGCTCAATAAACCCAGACGTTGTATGTTGGAAACAAAGTACCGCAGCCAGTTGCAGCATGTACACGACTTCTGACCAAAGATTAGGAATGACCAACTTTCACCGGAGTGCTGCAGTGTGGCCTCTCTGCTGTTCCACTTTTATTGCTCCTTCTTGTAAACAAGAATATTTTAGTGTTGAAGTAGTACTGCCCCTTACACCTGCCTGACAAACAGCTTATGGCTTTGTAAAAAAAAGCTTTTAAAGCATTTTCAGAAAATTAGGTTCTCTATTTCTCCATGTTCTTTTTAAAAATGTTCCTTTTAAAAATCTAGAAGTTCTTTTGGTAAAGATTGCAACCTTCAATGTTAAAAAGATTTGACAGTTCACATTGACTTACAAAGTGGTAGGAAGTAGAAAAGACCAGCGAGTGTTACAGAGACAGGACAAGACATCCTACAGAAACAGCTACTGCTCACCACTGGGGTGTGCTACATCCCTAAAAACAGCCTGCTAGTTACAGTATGTGAGGACTACACACACACACACATACAACGAGGGACTGTCACAGCAAAAGAGAGAATTCTTAAAAAAGTGAGGAATGTTTTTCTAATGTTCCTCTCCTCCCACTGTAAAGTTGTGTTGCAATAATTCCTACAGTTTCAGCTCTACAAAGAGTTCACTGTCAGTTTGCTGCACAAGTTGCTGCAGCCACCGTCCCAACACCACCTCACACTAAGTCATCATATCCAGAGCACGGTGATGAACAGAGGCAAAAAAAGAACAATGGCCAATCAATCTGGTCGTCTTACTCCAAAATATAAACAAGAGAAAGATCTCATTTGGCTTTTTTGTTCTGTGATTTGATGGAATAATTCATAAAATGATGTTTTGTGCTCTGATCTTTTGGGCCTGCATCAATGTTTTAAAAAAGCTCATACAGACAAATTCTGACGTTTCACAGAAAAGGGAACAGTAAATAAGTTTCCCTTAAACCAACGAACCAGTGACGTTTCACCGCTGAAGGGAAAAACAAAGATGGTTCATTTTACTGGCATCAGTTGGTTTGTAATGACTGCACTTCCACAGGAACATGGCTCCTGATCTACTTAACCCTCTATGAGCCAGAAATAATCAATATGTTACTGAAGCTACTATTACAGAAATGGATTCTGTCTCATACAGGGTTAGCCGGTTCAGTCTAACTATCCATGTTGCTAGTGTGTTCTTAAAAAGAATCTTGACACCAACGTGACAGTTTTGCACCATCAACAGTGACCTACGTTACAACACAGTTCAAACTCAAAGAGCTGAAGTTTAATGTTGCAACTTCAGATGAAACTTATTTGATCGCCTGGTTAGATGCTTTTAGTATTCATGTCTGAAATATGGAAAACAAAACAAACAGACTTAACAGACCACACACACACACACACTGGTACATATTAGGAAACAAACTGAAAGAGAGAAAAAAAGTTCAAAACAACATCATGACACTTGATTCTCAAAGAAAAGATCGATTGATTTGTCAACACACTCATGAGAAAAACATACACACACTCTCTCCAAGTTCACATGCTAGCGTATGGCTCATCCTGGAGTCGACACATACTGAGTGGTAAATAAACTGGATGGGTGAGGAGGGGTGAGGCTGAAGAGGGGAGGCAGGTGACAGACTGTACGACAGCTTTGCATAGAATCTACAACAGAGGCCCAAAAAACTAAAGAGTGGAGCTGATTTGTTAAATTCAGAATTTCCATGGCAACAGAGGGGGATAAGCAAATTTCCTGATTTAGAAAAAGTAAAACAGAAAAAAGATTGGTCCTAATCTGGAAACATTTTGCTTGGAAATCGTATTTAGATAGAAAATACGGTTGTCAGAGAAATTTCAAAATACAGTTCAAGATACTTGTTACAGCTCAAGACTCTGGTAGACCTGCTGCAAGTAGAGCACAAAGATGTCACATGGCCTGACGTTTGGCCACAAATACACACACGCGCACGCACACACACGCGCACGCACACACACGCGCACGCACACACACACGCGCACACACACAAACACACATGCTTAACCACCCTGAACAAAAATGGAAATGGGTGCTCAACTGGAGGAAGAAAAAAAAATAGTGAACAAAACCAAGAAAGAAAAAAAACAAGATTGGTAAAAACATATTAGTAAACAGTTTTCAGCCATCAGCTCACACTAAAAGGAAATTTTAAAGTTAGGTGTGAAAACAGAGGGGGAAAGATAGATGGGAGGGTTGAGGGGTGGGGTGTTGTCACGACTCATTCGTTCCCCGGAGGTGGAAAAATGCACCACTGTTCTGAGCGCACTCAGGTGGTGCTGATGCAACGTCAGTGGGTCCCTGCTCCGTCACCACCACGACCGCAGCAGCCTCTACGTTTCTATGGAAGCACAAACAGGATGACGTTAACCTTAACACGTTTTATGATTACTTTGTGTTGGAAGGTAATTATATTGTTCCAGTAAATATTTCCTATTTCATAGCTTGTATATGTTTGAAACTGAGATAGATGTGGTACTAGTTAATAAATAATGGTAGATCACAGCTTTTCTGTTTTTATAGTGCTGTGTAGAGTTTGTACACACATAGTTAACAGTGCTTCCTTTTATAACTGTAGCAGGAGAAGGTGGATTCTTCCTCCACACTGACAGCAGAGACTATAAACAACTGCTCTGGCCTCGTGCCATTCCTTATGCAATACTAAAAGCCTCACAAGGTTCCACTGCTAAGCCAAGGTAAGAGAAGAGAAGGAGAGATCTTGCTACGTTAATACAAATTTAAATACAAAGCTCCGGTGGAGCTTGGCTGATTAAAGGTCACATCTATTCTGTCCTGCTCTGATCACACATTCTGTGCTTCAGAGCAGCTAAGATTCAGTCCCTTATTGGTTCTGCTGTCACAAACTTAACAAGCATAAAGTAAAAGATTTCATGGTGGCTCATAAGGAGTAATGACCCAGCAGACAAAACACTACCAGCTGTAGTACAGGGTTATTTTCACTCAATTCTGCCAGTGTTTATTCACTCTAAACTATTCATGTAAAATGTCTTAGACCATGTGAATGGATGAATAAATATTCCTAGAGAGCATGATGCTAGTGGAAGACAATATTTACCTGTAGGCTCATCCAGAATCTGTTCCTCTGTCTCAACAAACTCATCTTCTGCAAAGACAAATATATATTGTATATTATAATGATATATTATGTTGTTTTCTCATAAAGCATTTGTCTCCAACAAATGTATCACACACCTCTCCCCAACTTGCTATGTCTTTGAGTGAGTGAGTGAGTGAGTGAGTGAGTGAGTGAGTGAGTGAGTGTGTGTGCCTACCTTCTGCTGCTGTCTCCTCTTCCTCTTGGGCTACTTCTTCTTCTGTCTCTGTAAAAACAAATACACCAAAAATCATAGTTGGATTATCAGCTCCGGTTGCTAACAGCTTAGCAGATGTCATATAAAATAAGAGCACACTTCAGTTTGTCATCTCAAGAGTGGAAGAAAATTAAGTACATGTCTCATAATAAAGCTACTGGACCTACAGTGGGAACTTATTTTCATTGTCTCTTGAAATTAGTCCGAACTTTATTCCTCCTGATGGTTCAGTAATCAGTGTCTTGCTAATAAAGCTACTTTATGCTTCTGATAGTACTGGAAATGAAAAATATGTTAGTAAGAACCTCAGATACTTGGGAAAAATATGTGTAATTTAATATATTTGTAATTTTACTTTGTTTGTCTCATCTGCTAACTAACATGGAGGGGGTGTATACTGCAGCACCACGAATCATCATGTTGCATACAGTCACTGGTGTCCACATTGAAAATGCGTATGGACACTTTTACACGTATGCAGTGAAAAATTCTGTGGTGTTTCCCTCTCGTTTTCAACTTATACTCCAGAGAGGGAATATACACACATATACACACGCAGTATTTCCCAAAATGTTCAACTATTCCTGTGAGTGTTGATCACAGTCAAAATGGACCTCATTTTCCTTCTTACCTGGGACTGTTTGCTCCTCCACTTCTTCTGGAGTATCCTCTGGGGCTGCTGCCTCCTCTGCAACCTCCTCCACTGCTTCTTCTGGAGCTGCCTCCTCTTCTACAGGCTCCTCAACAGCTTCTTCTAAGGGAGCAGCCTCCACCTCTACAGCAGGCTCGTCTGAAGGAGCCGCCTCCTCCACAGCCTCTTCTGAGGGAGCGGCCTCCTCCACAGGCTCCTCTGAAGGTGCCACTTCCTCTTCTGGCTCCTCTGAAGGTGCCACTTCCTCTTCTGGCTCCTCTGAAGGTGCTTCTTCTTCCTCAACAGGCTCCTCTGAAGGTGCTTCTTCTTCTTCAACAGGCTCCTCTGAAGGTGCTTCTTCTTCCTCCACAGGCTCCTCTGACAGTGCTGCCTCTTCTTCTTCTGCTACCTCTTCAACAGCTTCCTCAGCAGGTTCTTCAGCTGCTTCATCTTCTTCCAATACCTCCTCAACCGTTTCTTCTAAAGGAGCTTCCTCCTCAGCAGCTTCCTCTGTGGTAGTAGCCTCCTCTTCTTCAGCTGGCTCATCGACAGCTTCTTCAATAGGGGCGCTTTCTTCCTCTACAGCCTCGGCCACATACTCAGCTTCCACCTCTTCCATGTTTTCCTCCACTGCAGCCTCTGCTTCAGGTTCCTCTACAGCCTCTTCAGCAGCCTCTTCCTCCACAGCCTCGTCGGCAGCCTCCTCCTCCACAGCTTCGTCGGCAGCCTCCTCTTCCACAGCCTCGTCAGCAGCCATTTCCTCCACTGGCTCCTCAGCCGCTTCCTCCTCTGCAGGCTCTTCTGCCGTCAGCTCCTCTTCAACCTCTTCAGCTACTGGCTCCTCCTCAGCTGGAGCAGCCTGAATTAAGCAATATCATCAGCCAAAGGTTATTAAGATATTTACTTGCAGTTTAAACAGATATATTTGATTAAATCCCACACCTCATCTTTTCTAAGGGTCACGTATGCTGCAGTGTTCTGTGGCCCTGACACGAGTGAGGTGTTAGCCACAGCAGCAACCAACGGCACACACACATACACACACACACATACACACACACACACAATAAGTTACAGTATCTGATCACAGGAAAGGTACTTATGCTGTTGACGTTGTGAACAGTTTTTATCTGTGAGCCATTTGTTCTTTGTGATTCTGATACAGACTGCACTGTTCCATTTTAATTTTTTTAATCCATTATTAATGACATAACACATTTTGTTCATTGCAAAGTGAATAAACATGTCAGCAGTTCACAGAATGGCGTGCTCGCCCCCCCCAGTTTTTAAAGAAGCTGTGTTGTAAGTAGCATGTAAATGATCAGAGAACTGTAACAGTAAAGAGAAAAACCTGCAGGTTTAAAAGTGTATAGGAACTAACCACTGCAAATAAATTCATGTGATTATCAGTTTGTGTGAAGAGTGACCAACATGAAGACATTCCAGTCTATCAACATAGAAATCTTTGAATGAAAATAGTATGCAATTATGATGCAACAATAACAAAGGCCATATACCTCCTCTGTGGCCTCCTCTGCAGGGGCCTCCTCCTCTACAACAGGAGGCTCCTCCTCCAGCACCTCTGGATCCTCCTCAATCACCTGGGAAAAAGCAAACAAACAGATGAAGCAGACAGCCTTACATTTATATTTGTGTGGTGGCATGCAGGCAATGATCCCAATGACTAAAAGAAAATCAACCTTCGGCAGGAATATGTACTGAAAACATTCGATAGTGTTTGCATCCGAAGCTTGACCTGTACAAACCTCAGCAGTCTCCACAGGCTCTGGTTCAGGTTCAGGCTCAGGTTCAGGTTCTTCCTCAGGTTCTGCCTCAGGCTCTGGTTCAGGCTCTGGAAGCAGAAAGTTGTACAGATTGTACTCCAACACACCTACACCTTTGTACTGTATCTTGTGCGCCTTAACATTTTTGTTTCCATCTATGAATTTTTCATGATGAAGGCATTCACTCAGTTACCTGGAGGTGGAGCAGAAGTGTCCTCTGCTACAGCAGCTTCCACCATCTCCTCCACAAGTACAGGGTCGGGCTCAACAACAGCTGAGGGGACAGAAGACGACGTTGAGGGAAAACATATGCAGTGTTTTATGGTGTACAAACCTATACGATGATCCTACAGAGTGATCACATTCACTCACCTGTAGCATTATAAGCCAAAAAGTGTTATTTATTTACTTGATTTTCTTTTGAAAAATAGCCTCTACTGCCTTCGCAAACACAAGTTTAACCAATGACACTATTAACTGGCCATATTACATGAAGGTATAACAAGTAGAAATTATCCAAGAACCAATACTTAGACAATAAGTCAATACAAAAATTATGGTATCGAAAAAGAGCATCGACATGTCACATGAAATTCTTTCACAACTGATGAGTGCAGCAGAAATGATTGTATTCACCACTTGAAGACAAGGTAAGTATGAAAACTAAATTTTTTTTTTTTAAATACAGAGCAAGCGTGTCACTTTACAGGCTCTATTCCTGCCATGGACAGTTGTCAGCACAACAGAACCTCTGAATGATGGCTCGGTGCGAGCTGCTGGTGTCTGGCTGGTTACAGCCGTATTTCATCAGCTGATGAAGCTCTGTCACCTGACTACACCTGTGCTCCCGCTTCCCTCATTATCTACCATCATCATGTTCCTGTGATGCCACTGGAGGGAAAGAATGTGTATAAGGAATGTGTGTGATTGTTACCCTCTGGTGTGGGTTCGGCTTCAGGAATCTCCACTGGGGCAGCAGCTTGTTCGCTACGGGAGGTGATGACAACAGCTTTCTCTTTCAGTCCTACATGAGATGATGCACATGTTGGCAAGGAAGTATAAGAGACAGAATATGTCATTTACATACTTTATGTGTGGGTCCACTGTGTGATATTTAGTGACTGCGGTTTTAGTTTAGGTGGTGATGTTGCACAATGGTGTGTGTGTGTGTGTGTGTGTGTGTGTGTGTGTGTGTGTGTGTGTGTGTGTGTGTGTGTTTTAAAATGACTTTGATCTTGTGGGGACAGGTTTGTCTAATATCACAGAACATCATTCACATAAAACGTCACTTTTTACAGAACATGTGTAAGTGAGGCATTGGTTTTCTTTTGCAGACTGATGTTGAATCTCATTAACATATTATGGTTTGTTATAGGTGGTTGACAGACATTTGTGTAACATTTCAGCTCAGAACCTTTTGTGAACTGTCATTTAACTCCTGAAAAGTAATCTGTTTTATCCAAGGACAGGACAGGAAGAGCAGGTCTAAACTGGATGTCAAAAAAGTTAAGTGTGATCTCCATTTCTGTACCTCTTAACACACTCATAATTTATGAATTAAGAACAAAAAAACATGAGAAAGTCATGGATCCAGACACTTTATTGACAAAAGACAAAAACTTGAAGATAGTGGAACACAAATCTCCCTAAATCAAGTAAAACACACTATTAATTTCAATCTATACAAATCCAACCACACTTAAGTGTCTCATAGTTGATATCAATACCATTTTGGACCCATGCAGTTTGAGTCCTAGCATCGCAGCACATGTTTGAAAGCAGCCCTGGTACCCTGGTTTTTGCAGGTCCCTTGAGACTCTTCATTTTTCTGGTAGCACAGAGAGCTAAGGTGGCTAGCACAATCCAGAGCATGGCCAAAGGCAATTATGACACATAATATATTAAATTAACCGAGCTGGAAAGAGAGCATGCTAAGGTTTTGCTGTTAGGGAGTCCAATTAACAATGTGCTTTACTAACATGTTTAATTTTGTTGCATTATATTTCTTGACTGCAAATTTGTTTTTCTTTCAATATTCTAAAATCGTATTAAACTCAGTAATATCCAATGGGTGCACCATGATGGTCATAGTGGTGATATATGTGGGCCAGCTGACAACCCCTGATCTAAACATCAACCAAACAGAGGGAGGTGTCATTGAAATAATACCACCAAATATTGGTACGTATACCAAAACAATGATTTTGAAGCATTAATGCTTAAATTGTCCTTCACCTTTTTGGGATGAAAAGAGACCAAACTTTGCAAATGTTAGTTTCTGAATATGAGTCGATGTACAAAAACCGTTGTAAAAATGACTAAGGTTTAGTTTAGATTTATATTGAATTGAAGTAGAACAGGTATATAAATCTGAGAAGATTTTATTTTGAACTAATAATGATTGAATAACACTGGCACCTCTGTCATCACTTCTTGCCTCCACTGTCTTTGCTTTTCTTCCTTTTTTCTCTGCCAGATTCTCTCCCTCTACCCCTCTCCTCCTGTGCTTTCCTTCCTCCCCCCTCTTCCTTTTCCTCCTCTCCTTTCTTTGACTTCTCTCCCTCTTCCTTGCTCTCCTCTGTCTTTATCTCATCCAGTTGTTTCGCTTTTTCCTGTCGTAGTTTCTCCAGAGCATTCTCCATCTGTTCTTTCTCCATCTTCTCCTCTTCCTCCTTCAGTCTGGCAGAGACTCTTTCCTTCACCCTGGCTTTCATTTCCTTCCTCCCCACATCCAGCTTCTCCTCCTCCTCCTCCTTGGCCAGGAGCTGTCTGACTTCAGCCAGGGCCAGCTTGGCGAGCTTCTTGGCCTCCACACGTTCGTGGATGATGGCCAGCTGCTGCTTTAGAGCATCTCGCAGCTTCCAGCCCACATCCTTTATTGGAGGGGTCTCTGGGATGAATGATCAATGAAAGTGTTTGGGGTTTCACCACTCAAATGATTTGTTATTGGATGAAGACCATGCTTAAATGTTACTCGACATCTACACACACCAGAAGTACATGTGCATGTCTATGAATCAATTTGGACCACGGCAAGACCAGGTCCATGACACACTTTTTTTTATTATTCTCCAGACAGTGTTGACTTTGTACACATCACCAGGATGTTACACTTTATGAAACAGGTATAAATTATGTTCCATACTGGTTTACACCAGTTTAATCAATTTCTTAAACTGGAGCTTTATATGTCAAGTGCAGGCAAAGAATGAGGCCAAAAATCTTCAAATCTTTGCAAACAACAAATAACCAAAGTTCCATTTAATAAAATGGATCTGGAGACAGTGTTAGTATAATTAACACCCACTCAAACGAGATAATGGATTGTGAGTAGCTGACACTTGGTCCACTAGCCCACACTGTAGCACAGCACAGCTTCATGCATGTGGCTGCCTGACAATACCTTTCTTAGCTCCTCTTCTGTCTGTGTCACCTGGTTTTTCATCTGACGTTACACAAGAACAAGACATCAGTTACGTCACTGGAATACTTTAAATCCCATACCAGCATTAATGTTACACACCATGGATCAATCGATGTTACTCAACTACAACTGAAGTTTTGTATGAGATACACACTGTTGCTGTAAAACAGTTACTTTACTAGGCATCAACAAGAGATGAAATACTGCTCGGAAGAATCTAATTGAGCCAGGTAGATCTTTTTCACAGTCAACAATGGCAATATTCTCAAAATAGGGTTGTTTATGAAGGTTTCACAGATTGTAAGTGTTTTTGTGACCAAAGTAATATGTATATTAGCCAAGGTCAAGGCAAGGCCAAAGTGTTTTTAATGCATCAACTTCTTCTTTTCTCTCCAGTCGCCAAAGTGCTGCTCATTGTGGGAACTGTTGGGTTTCTCTATATTAAAAAAAATGTATGGTCTTGACCTTGAGATAATCTACATTATGATTTGGCGCTATACAAATAAAATTTAAATGAATTATGTCAGCAAAAAAGGGAGAATCCCAGAAAAGTTTGAGCATAGTTTGATTAAAGTCCAGTTACTGCTACACTGAGAAACACATACAAAGATGCTGCACATAAAAGGACAGCTGTAACCAAGCCAGTATCAGTCACACAAACTGATAAAATGAAAATATTCAGTCTGAGTGATGGCAGAGCCTCTTAAATTGACTGCACATGACCCCAATGGAGGTACTTACTGAATTTAGAAAATCACACAGTAATAAATCTTTGTGCTGCAACATCATGTAGATTAATTCTATTTACAAGCTGAGGCAGAAGTTATTCCACACAGAGCAGGACTGGCCTGTTTCAAATTAGGCATCATCTGTGCAATAGTCATTCAGTTGACACAAACACACACCCTCTTTCATATGCACAGAGGAATACATCTGCTGCTGATTCCAATCATGAGGCAGCAATAAATAGATTAAAGCATCATGGATCAAACACACCCCTCAGCATTTTCCTGTCTCAACCCACCAATTAATCACACCCTTCTACTGCAGCACACTCCTCTCACCTGACACACAAACAAACTGGAATGACCACAATCTGTGCACACCCATAAACCTAAAGCTGAGAACTTTCATATGTCACTGACGGGGCTTAATTTTCACTCCTACAACTGATTTTATTTTGTAATTTGAGTGGGCAGACTTATCTAACATGGTGCAGCTAAACTGAAAGAAAACATAGCGCCTGTGACCACATGCTGTACATACACCTTCTGTGTTGTACCTGAAGGATTGAGGCAGAAACTAACTTCATGTAAACACAAAGCACAATATGTGTACCCAGCTGCATAACTGAGACAAATTTTATCACTTGTCCAAGGAACTGTACACTCCAGGAAACAAGCAAACACATGTTATGTATGTATTCATACATCCACACTTTCTGTGTCTTGCAGACAGTTAGAAGAGAAGGTTGATGGCTTTTATGAAGATGATAGCAACAAACAAACCAAGCATAGAGACTGGAAAACAGTAAACCTAGTCAAAAAGAATTGTCTACCTACAAAAAAAAAAGGCAGTTTTACAGGGGCACTGTGCCAAGCCATTTCTTGGTCAGGTCTAGATGGTCCAGATAGCAGACGGGCAAAATAGTGGGGAACACTAACTAGCAAACATTAATGCTAGGTTTGACATTTGCAATTACTATTGCAGATAGCAGTAGTTTTAATAGAGCCATGCTGCTGTATGGGTGTCCATCTTTGCAGAGGAAGTTGCCTTTAGCTTTTTGACGTGGAGGATAGGTAGCAGAAAGACGGTGGCCAGATATTATTCTGAGGAGGGTGACTTCACTGACAGATGTTCAGATGATGTGGCTGAGATCCAATCACAATGCAAACAAGTTCATCTCCAGATTTGTCTTTCAGGTAGGATTATTCTTTTGGATTTGCATTTACACCTGCATTTATCACCATTTTCCTATATATAAAAATAGGGTCCAAGACCAAAAGCCTTTAACTTGACAGTTTAAAGTAAAAAAGAAAAGAAAAAGAAAAGTAGAAATTCATGCTCACAGTCCAGAAGTCCAGAGTAACTGTTCTAAGGATCAGTTTTTATGGCATGCAGCAGTAGGAAAAGATTAAATGTCTTCAAAGAGGCACTTGAGCAACTGTCAAAGTGCGTATCACCTGCCAACATGTTTGTACAGAAAATAATGTATTTATAGAATCTTAAAAAGGTTTAAGTGATGACTTATAAAAGTGTTCCTGAGTATCATGTCAACATCACAGCAGAGTGACCAACATCTATAAAAATGCCTTCAACAGGATTTTACTTTCACTAAATTCTGCTGAAACAATTAAGCAAGTTTTTCAAGTCTGACAATACTTGGGAATTACAGCGGGTGAGACCTGGGATAGGTAGGGCCTACAGCAATGGCCAGACTGGAGATATCCATACCCAAAGCTACAGGCTGGGTTAAGTTGCAAAATCTGCAACGGTAAGTTAAGAAACCCCTTTTTCTCCAAAATTGTAGCTTGGCCTGTGGGATGCAAAGGCCATTTGAAAACAACTGCATTGGGGGATAACTGTGCTGCTGCAGTAGGCCTGTCGCTATTGATTGTGGAGGCCGACTATGACGATCTTCTGTCCCTGTCTCCCATCATCTTTCGCTCCTCTTCTTCCGATCCCGCTCTCATCCTCGTCATCCTCATCCTCCTCATGCGCTTCCAGAGCTTCTCCTGATGCACTAAGTTCCTCCTCATCTGCGGGCTCCAGGGGATTTATCAGACCGTACAGGAAAGTGAAGAAACTGTTTAACCAATCAGAGCCGCCCTCTTCCACTTCTTCTAACCAATCCAGAACCTCGGATTCACCCTGACCATCGCCCTCACTGGTCAATCCTACGCAAACAAGAGCGGGTGGGGGGCATGGATGGATGGAGGAGAAGTTCGGGAGCACGGTGTGGGGGGAAAAAAAATAAAAATATGGAGGGACACGGACAGTGTGAGGAATAAACTAAAAAAAAAAAGGTCAGAGGAAAGAGAAGTGGAAAAACATGGAGAAAAAGAATGCAAAATGAAACAGTATTAAGAGCAGAGGAGAAAAGAGAGGGAGGGAAAGAAACAAGAGGAGAAGGTAAGAGAAGTTTAAGCGTAGGTTAGGCAGCAAGGGATCTACTTACGCTCTATTGTATCTGTCTACTCCTGATCAACAAAATCAAAAAGGAGACAGTGATGACTCTGCACAATGTCACAGCAAATCAGCATTGACCTGAACTCTCTGCACTGGATCAGAGAATTCAGTTCAACCTGCTCATCATGTGTAGACAGCCTAGAACCACAGAACAGGAGTTACACAGACTAAAGAGGAGATACTGAAGATGTGTTTTCATCAAATGTTAATGTCACACTTTGAGTTTGCATAAGAGGAGCTGAAAACAGCACAAGAATCATTAGACTTGCAGACTATACCTCACGTGGACATTATTCAGGTTGCTAATGTCAATTGACATTTATTATGGGAATTAAAATATATAATTCAAACAATACACTCTGCACTTTTTTGTCATATAGATATTAGTAGACTACAACAGCTACTTTGAAAGGATATATAGCTGTCCCTCTGATATTTAATCTTAAAATGTGATTAAGACCTAGAAAACATCAAGAGGTAGATTTAGAGAGATCAATTAACAGAGGGAGTAACTGAAAATAAAGAAAGGTCAAACAAACATGTAGGTAGTGAGAGGATAGTTTCAAATGTACGTAATGTTAGGAGTTGCTGTAGTTAATATTGTAACTACAATAATGTGGATGAATGGAGGATGCTCTCTCATCATGGTGGGAGGTGGAGAATGCAGCGGTTTACCGGGAGACACAAGAGTAGCTTAACTAGATCAGCTGTAAAAAGCAGCTTTCAGACATACAATGGACGCTGCAGTTCCTCCGTATTTTCTCCGAAGGAGGTGCATGCGTGATCGCAAATGTGAGCGATCTGCAGTTCTCCGTACTTTATAGGCCTGGCCTCCTAGTATAAGGTTGATAGAATTCCAGAAGAAGTCGATGTGTGAACACACCAGGGGATCCCCCGCTTAATTCACTGCGAGCGAGTGGGGGGTTGATGACGCTTATAACATGTAAACATGATGACGTGATCTATGCAGCAGAGTTAATTACGTCAATTCCTGGTTGCTACACCCCGCTGTTCCACCTCTCACCTGAAACATTTTTTTCTGTTGTGCAGAGAAACTCATGCTGCGTTGTGCATGTGTGAAAGGCAAAATCTGGGTAAACTCCGTAGCAAATTCTCCGGATTTTACCCAGAGGTCATTAACAGCTATAGAATGCTCTGGTAAGAGTCAAACTATTTGCACTGTAGTGAAAATGGACATATTACTTTCTACTTTGTACGGCTTTTCTAAACAAAGAGCAAAGATATCGAACTACACAGAGACAGGCTTAGAGATACTCAATGTGAGTGAGAAACTGGACACAAGGGATAAGATAAGGATAAGAAGTACAGCATACGCATTGGATCATGCACTGCAGTGCCAAAGCTTAACGATCAGGTTGTTGCTTAAGATAATTTGTGTTAAATGAATCTTAAGTGAGGGAGGTCACAGAGACGTGGAAAAACAGAACCACTTCCTTTGACAGATGGGGCCGCCTGGAGTCCGATCAAACTAACTGAGCATACAAAAGAGTGAGATACCATCGAGTAGGAGGACTTCAGGGCAGAAACAGTTACGCAGAGTTTCCTCAGTGTAATGACATATATGATTATTCATATCCTAAAGGTTGCTAACTGTTGAATATCTTTAACACCACTAAAGGCATGTTCTCCTGTTGATTCACACACAATGTTCTTCAATAGATTCAGAAAAGAAGCAGGAGCTTCTTGTTGATACAAACTTAACTTTTAACTCTAATGCCTGTCAGATTTCAAACCCAGAGAAGGATTCACTGCTTTAATGAATTCCAAATATTATATTATATTTGACAAATGTTCAGGTTCTCTGAGGTGGGACACACATATCTCGAGCCTGTGAATTTGGCCATTTGATTACAGCTGTAGTCCTACATGTCAAAACTATTGTACACAGGTCAATGTATTCGTAGAGTTACATTAACATGATAAAAAGAAAAAAAGGAGCAGAAGCTGGTTCTGTATAAAACCATGCAACATGCAGCAGACTTCACATGAAGAAGAAGATAACAGGGGGCTGGAACGTTTTTTATCCAGATCTCAGTTGTCTAAAAACTGTACCACAACAACATGATCTGGTAAAAAAGGCTTGTCCATTCAACTACTTTTAAGCTGCCCCATTAATTAGTTTGAGTTTTTGACAGTAGGTTGTTTCACAAACCTCATGGGTTAGTTACTGTACTTACAAACACAGAGCACCTACTGTACTTTGGCTCAAGAGTTTATGGGATGTGAGACTAATAAAAATCTGGATATATAAAGTGGACAAATTCGAAGGGATGCACATTTTTATTAGAATTACAAAACTGTTAAGAAAACTCACCAAACCTCCACGAGGTTACTTCAGTCCAAAGTGTTATGGAGGAGTTACGCTTTTTTTGCGGTGATCATTGATTATATTGTCTCTATGGCAACTTTATGATTGTCAGTCATGCAAAAGAAACCCAAATGCCATTTCATGATTTCATCAGACATAAATTACACATTATCAGTGGTCTGCAGAAAATGTCACACTCAGAATTAATCTTTTCCGACTGTATCACATCTGAGAGAGTCTAAGAATGCAGTAAAAAAAATTGTAAACGTTTTGTCAATGGAGACGAAAATATATTAAATTTGTTTTTCTTTCTGCAGGACACTGATAGTATAATTGGTTGTAGATTAGAGATAAATTAACTTGCCTAAAAGAACTTTAGCGTCTTCGACATCAAAATCACCATCGCCATCTGTATCGTATGCCACCAGTTTACCTACAGCATTGACAAACACAGTGGTCTTACCGTTTATCCTCACAGGAATCATGACAACACATTATTGAAAGCTGTACATTTGCATGCATCATTCAACACAGACACACAAAAAGATGGACTTCACAGCCTAGAGTCTGTTCTTACTTAAATTAAAAAAATTATGTTCCCCCTGATAATCGCTTCTGTTCAATTCCTTCCAGACAAAACTCAATACCTGCTCTGCTTAAATTTGCTGTCATTGAAGCCAATGAGACGGAAATTTGGACTAATCCTTGAAGGGAAACACTGAGCTCATGAGAGACTGGGTTCTTATCATCCATCACAATTGGAAGGAGGGGTTCTATGATGGATGACTAACAGCATGGTGAATTTCTTCAAATGTGGGAGAACATGGGGGACAGTAAGAGTAGATGGTTGAAATTGAAATAGAAGGGGCTGGCAATAAATAAGGGGCAATTCATCACAGTAACATGACCATGCTGGTTTTGTAAAAATCTGGAAATGTTTTTCAGTAATGGGATGGATCAGGGGAGGAAGGGCAAAAACAAGCCTGAGATCAAAACTAACGCAGCTACAGGGGGTAGGTCTTAAAATTATTGGAGTCGATTTTTCACAAATAAGCATCTTAGCAACTAAACAGGGATGATGATGATGGTGGTCTCTGGCCACTGACAGATGGAGAATTTAGTTCCTGAACTCTATTCGACTATTACTCTGAGAAGAGTAAAGGGAGTGAGGAAAATATCTATGCAGCACAACTATAAAGACATATGAGAACAATCTTGGCTTGTGATTTTTACCTTGCAAGGCCTCAGACAGGTTAATTTGTAAGCCTTTAGCCTTATCTGCATGCAAAACACAAAACATATATTGGAAGAACAGCAAGATTACTGAACAGATTTGTAATTCATAGAATAAGATGCAGTACAGACAGGAACATTCAACATTAATATTTAGGGATGCAGATTAGTGGCAGACAATAGAGGTTGATCAAACAGGACACAGACATGCAACTAACAGGACATTTCAGTGAAGCAGATCAGTTAATGAGTAGTTTATGGGTCCACATGCCACAGACCAATGAGACAGCACTGACTGAGATAGGTGTATGTTAAACAATGCATGGTACTTGTGATAAATATGAATATATTTTTCAAACTTGAATGACAAAGATGATATAGACTAGTAACAACTTTTATATGCTCAACTCTATAAAAGTATGATAGAACCCGGATTCTGAACAGCACAACGCTGGCGATTTTTACTTTTATAAGATTTGACTGACTTATCTGCAGCAGTTCCTAGAAATTGATTTCACTCCCTTTTCAAGGGTATTTGGTTTCAAGCAAAGTGGAATAAACAGAAAGGCAGAGGATTGAAGCAGACTCACATCAGGTTAGTAATGAATGCTAAAGGTCTGACTAAAGCGCTCTGACAATGGTAAAAATCATGGTTAGACTGGTTCTTATTGTGTGGTATACTTTAGGGACAGATGACAGTAGTAGCTGAGGAAGGGTGATGTGGGAGAACGTTGAAATGATGATGACAAAATCCACACTAGTTGCTACCACACATTTCCAGCAAGGTGCATGAGATGAAAAACACTGTAGAATGGAAGTGCAAAATAATCTGCTTTTCAAGCCAAAGCAGATGTGTGTTGCACAGTGAACTCACCAAGGACTCCCTGATAGTCAACCAGGTCAAAGTAGACCACGGCTACAGAAGTCCAGACACCGAGCAGGGCCAGGACGATGAACCAGGTGAAGAAGCTGCTGCTGGATCCTGAGTCGGCTTTCTTCCCATTCTTACTGCCTGCTTGATTTTTCCCATCTGTAACATAAAAGTGTATGGTGTCGGATTCATTTGTGGATTTGACACTTGGATAGTTTTACACTAATATCAATTCATTAAGTCGCATCGAGAAGCGGACATATTTTATTACCACTCTATGCATTTGCATAGACTGTCATCCAAGCTTAGTATGGAATACACCGATATCAATCATCCAACATGCACACATTTTGAATGCCACACAGCTGTTTATCTACAGGATCTTCACTCTCTCACATTCTAAAGTTCCAGTTCCATCTACAGTCTTTATCAAGCAGTTGTCTTTTAGCTTAACCACGCTAGTTGAAATAGCAGAATGTGGAGTGAGGTCAGCCAGTATGAAGAAAAGAAATACCTTGTCATTTACAGTAGATGTAGCTTATTGGATTGGTATTGTTTCCCAGTAAGTGACGGAATCATCTGAATACATCTGTGGCAGGTGAGTTTTATCTGCTCAAATCCCTAAACACTCCCACACTATCACCTCGTTCCCTTTAACCTTCATTTTAGACCCAGCCACACCTTCCAAACATGACTCTAAGGAAGGAGTCATAAGAGAGTATGGTGAGCAGAAATGTTAGATTTTATTCTTGAAACGTTCTGAAAGGAACCAGGTGTCATCTGTTGTTTCCTCAGAACCGGCTCTGGGGAAAAGAGCACAGGCGATGGAAACGGAAAAATAAACCACATCCCAGGAGCTATTCCGGGGGTGCCGACAACATCCAACAATGCATGATGGGAGAAAATAGTAGCAGGGAGAATGAACAGGTGTTGTAGGTCAAATCTCAGATACTAATTCAAAGAGCATAGTTCAAAGTACTTACATAGATGATATACATTTCAACAGTTTGCACTGATAGATATAGAGTTAATTCTAAACACAAGGATTTTCTATCAACTCAACACTATGTGAGCTATACGAGTTTGTGTCATTTTTTTGGACAAAGACTATGTTCTGTTCACCATTAAACAAACATATGCTTAAGTCTCTTAAATTCTCTAAACTTCTGAGGAATCCACGTTATCTGACCCAGAGATGGCAAAGGACATTAATATCAGTTTTATTTCTAGGTTTCTCAGACTGTTCAGCAGAAGTGTCGAGAATAGCATAAATTATTTAGCCTGGGGAAGATTACAGGTTGCATTAACCCTGTCTGGGATCTAAATGTAACCATGACTAAGTCAAACACCTACTAGGACCTTTTAGAAGAACAAGTTATAGGTACTTAAATCCAAGTTAAAACACTTAAGATATTCCATCAAAATACTTTGGAGCAAAAATTAATTTGTGTTGTTTAAAAAAAGTTTACTCTGATTTAGCATCCAGTCCCTTAACACATAACCCAACAATTCTCATACATGACCTCCCAGGCGATTTGTCCTTGTCAGCTCTCCGGTCAGTAGTCCTTGAACACACACCTTCCTCACCTTGTATTTCCCCAGCAATGGCCGTGGGGATCGCTGTGATAACAGGAGTGGCGGCAGACTCCACCAGGGTCACTGGATCACCCATCCCTGCCGCAGGCAGCCGGGTACACCAACTAATCAAACAACAGGTTAACTGACCACAGAGACAGGATGCAGTCCCAGCTCAGAGTAAAGAGCTGCTCTGTCTTCCAGCCTTGTCTCCTCTCGGTCTCACTGTCCCGTCCCTCTACCTCTAATGACCACGTTTCCTTCTCTTACTCAACTGTCATCCTTGCTCTCTGTGCCTTTTGTCTATGAGCCAATATAGCTCTTGGGGGGGTCACAGCTATTTATAGTATGTTGGACCAGCTGGCACTGACAGAGAGAAGAAAACAGGCATCAACGTCACTTACAAGCTCGCTGGGAACTGGCAGCTTAAACAACTACTCTTTCCACTGATCTGGAGTAATATATTTAATTCTCTCTACAACACTGAGCCACCAACCAAGCTAACAACTATATGGTTTAACCTTCAGTTCCTATTTGCCATTCTTAACACTTGATTTCCATTTCAGGTGAGAAAACTTTATGGGGGTTCTGACAAACAGCAGAGGGCAAACGTATCCCATGTGCAGCAGTCTTTGTGACCAACTGCCATTTCAAAGTTCTGTTCTTTTTTGTCCATATCTCAAAACCACCACTAACACTGCACTTCTTCCCATTCTTAGTAACAAGTGCAATGTTTGATGTTGATCAAATGAGCGGTTGTTGAGAATGTTGGACGGTCAGACAGAAGCACTGAGATTAATCCATCGAAAGCTGATTCCTTCCTTTAACAGACCAACTCAGACTTTCTTAAACCTCGGCTTAAAGTAAAAAGTAAGTGGTTACAAATCTTAATACGATTACATCAGTCACATTCAAACTAAATCCTTGTTTAATTTGCATCCGTTTGAAACAGCTTTCAACATTTTGTCAGGTTTTTCACAAACATGATAGAAAAACTCCAATGACTATCTGTCTTTTGCAGTCCTAAAACAATCACACTGGAGAGCATCATGAAACTGAGGTCCTAAATTTACAGTCACAGTGTCATGATGATGTCTTGTCACACAAGACTGGTAAATGCAAACAAAGCAGAGGTTTTCTAGCCTTAACCTAAGCCACAGGGCCGATACTACAGCTACAGCCTGTATTGCGACATCTGACTCAGCAAGACATTCAGGTTTGTTAACATGAATAAACAGGACTGTGGATATGATCATTGATGAGCTCTGCTCTTGTTCTTCAACCAACACTTAAAAACTGTGCTATAGTCAAAACAGTTAAACACATAAAACTAGATTCACTCAAAGTGGACCGGTACCATTAGATTTCTGAGTAATCCTGAAAATCTTAAATCTGGCAGTCTAAGGTACATTTGTCTCACAAACTAACACAAAGAGTTAAAACTAGCTACATGCACACACAAAAAAAATATCTGTGCAGAAACTTAAACGAATAACATACCAGTTTGTTCTTTTGTATACTCCATTTTCAGAGGACCACAGCAGTTGATTTACATAGGAGGTATATGCAGACCACACCGTTTATTTTCCAAACCTATGAAGCCCTCTCTCCTCAGTGTCTTCTCTGTGACACTGCACACACAGCTCCTCTCAAGTCTTATGTAAGGCCTGCAGTGCACCGCCTTCAAACCTACTCCTCCCGAGGGCTTTTGTCATGCGTCTACACTCACATGCAGGTAGAATTACTTGAGAAGATTGTGGTCGGACACACGTTAGATACTGCTCTTCATTATGAGGCTGACAAAAGTTCACATTCCTGAAGTGTAGCACTTCACTGGCAAGGGACCTTTCCGACTCAGTTTGGTGGCACCAGGATGTGTGTACATTCCAGGGATGGCGATTGTTATCAACATAAAACCAAAAAAGCAGGAAACAAATCCCATGCCTGCTTTTGCAGTGAAAAAACATGTGTATCAGCTCAAGCTGTTTGTTGAGCTAGCATCAAGCTAATACGATTATAATCACAGGCTCACTGCAAACAAATTGCTCAGATACAGCACAGCAGTATACATATGCATGCTCTGAAAATCCATTCTCTCTACAGCAGAGCTACCAAGTTCTGCCTGAATTATTTCGACACCAGGTAAAAAATTTGAGCATTGTGGTTTCATGCAAGGTTATATGGCGACGGTTCCATCTAAAGGATTTAGTTTGCTGATGAAAACTAATACAAAAGGGCACAATGCAGCATCACACATCAGTTCCACTAAAACAGGCAAGGCTGTTACCATTCTATCTCTGCATACTGCAGCGACTGGCAGCCCTGTGGGGGGTAGATAAAATGACACATGATGTAGAATGGTAGAAAGAACACATGGACAATGTTTTAAAAAAATTAAAAAAATCTGCTCCTACTCACACATACAATTGATCTTTCTAACAACATGGTGGATTGATATTCATGGAGGAACAGGGCATGAAGTTAAAACACTGCGTTGTATCACAATCTACGGGAAGAACATCTACCTTCTGCAGGAGTGTGTATCTGCTTTATTTACACATCTCAACTTGTGTGTAGCAAGTGAACTGGGTGCAAGCAAAATATTGGATTTTTTTTTCAAAACAATCTCATACTTTTGAGGGAATTAAACAAAGTAACCATCATAAATGCACATAACAAACCCACTTCACATGAACTAATTGACTGCTGTTGAAGCTATAATTTATTCCATCCCCATGATCAGTTCATCTGTTGGTATTTTAGACCGCATGCCTGTGAAACACCTGGTATACAACTCACTGGGTAGCCCTTTACTGTCGGTGCCAAAATCAATATTTGATAAGCCACTCTGAGTGTTTGATTCTGTGATGTAACTCAAATAAATACAGGGTAACCACCCAGAGTATCCCAGTCTGCCTTTCAACAGTGCAAAAGGCAACAAGTCAGAAGCTGACATTTCCTTTCCTTACACACACATCTTTCAAAGCTGCATTCAGTTATGATCTCCTGCGCTCACAAACAAACTTTGCTAAACTAATCACTGACTTGTGAAAACAGTTCTAACAATTTGGTCACCCCCCTAGTAGAGACTGCTTGGTCCAATTTATTTTCTGTTTACTAAACGAGGGCTACTGCTAAACAAATAAACACGGTGTCAAAGAAGTCACCAGTGAGGCATTTGTTAAAGCAGATGGTTACGTTTGTATATCAGAACTCAGCAACCAAAATGTAACACCACCTAAAAAACAGTGTGTTAACGTGCAAACATGGTGTTTAATGCTTGAGGTTTTTAGTGTGAACATAGCAAAAGTGAAATATTTCAATATGTTTGGTCTAATAATGAGGTTGAAATGTGCTCGACTAAGTTTTTTTCCCGTGTGAAGTAGGTAGAATTTTGTGAGTTGTCAGTTGTATCATTATCTTACTGAAATGATTGTACATTCAGCAAAAGAGACTGAATCTTTAAAAGAATATCATTTCAAGGATGTCAAACACATTTAATAACTGTTATCTTCAGCTAGAAACTAATCATTCATCCAAGCCTTCCTTCCCAGATCCATTGTACTGCGTTTCATTGTAATCACCAGTGTGGACTGTAGAACCATACATACATGCATAGGGGCTGTGGTGGGCGGGGTCATAAGACCCGAAAAAAAACTGAACATTTTGTTCCCTACACTTTTCTAACCCATTAACTGCCCTTTGGTCCCCTATAGACTCCTCACAGATAAAGCCACGGCCACTAGAATAAGGTAGAAACCGCATGTTGCAACCCGGGGGTTGTGCAGAAAGACAGTTTATTCATCAACTCTTTTACAGCCTCCTGTGGTGACTGCAGCTCTATAGAGTCTTGTTGTGTTGTGGGGTAATATCCCAGCCACTGCTGCGCCTGAGAGACGTGGATGTCCTGTGCAGAGCGTTGAGGACAAGGTGTTCTCTAAAGTTACACGCCTCCTCTACTTTCTCCCCACACACACACACACGTGGGCTAGGACTCATCGAGCTATACTTTAGCGTGGGGTGAAAGTTATTCAGTAACTGTACAAAGTTGGATAACTTTTTAATTCAATGTTAATGCACATAGTGCTTCATGCCATCACCAGCAGATTTATGCAGAGTGACCTTTTGGGAGCTAAAGCTGAGAAGCGTCGCGTGTTGGATGTTTGCCACGTCATGACACGACAATAGAGTCGGGGGGCTCCTGTGCACGCGTGTAGTCCCGGTATCGACGGAGACCCCGGGGTCCACGTCTAAACCCCACCCACGGCCTCTCGTACTGACACGTGAACATTTGGGTGACTGAGTGGTTGAACTGGGGGGCGGGGTGCCCACATGCACAACGCTGGAGGGACAGGCCTGCTTGCTGATCCCTGCAGCCGTACCTGCACACAGGACTCCGGGTAAAGATTTACACCCGCACGGGAGAAGACTACACCCTATCTCTGGCGTGCCAACCAGTATTCCACCGTAATCCCAGGAGCTGGAGCCGCCATGGTCCACAGGCCGGACTCCAGCTGGTGGCTCCCTGAGCGCTGGAGCAACAATACAACCACCATCGAGCGTCGCTACAACCAGCGAGATATAAAGCTACGTGCATGATAATACGCACCTGGATCAGCACAGAGCAGACGAAAGTGTGCGTGAAAGGCCGTCGGAGACCTACAGTGTTGACGTGTTAGCAAAATGTCCCAGGCTGTGCTAAAGCATAACAAATATATAGAAGTGCTCCACCGAGCAGCTGAGACGCAAGCTAACGAACACACTCGCAAACAGCAGCCCGCATTTCGACACCATTTTCTAAAGCTATACTAAGCTAGCTAGCCCAGAGCAGGGCCCTGAATGAAACAACAGCTTGACAAACGATTAACTTTGAAAGGCCGGACAGTGAGAGCTGCAGCGCCGGGCAGCATGAAGCAGGGAGGCAGCTACGCACCTTTCAGTTTCAGGGCACCTTTGGGGCCTTTCCTGTCCTTTGCCATGGCGGAGCAGCTGTGGAAGTAGAGGTGCAGAAGAGCAGGAGCAGTCAGAGGCTGAGTTTCTGTGGATGGAAAGGAATCCAACGTTCTCCTCCTGCCTCATAAAACTCAAGAGAATAGAAACCACGTCCCCTTGCTTATCGACGTGTCTTTTGCCCAATGACAGGCATGCGCCACCAACAAGGCGGGGCAGAAAAGCACATCTGACCAATGGACTTCGAGAGGCGTCGAGCTTATTGAACTGTGTGGATAGTCTTCTCTCTGGTCTCCGCCCCCAGCGCTCCTCTGGAACGTGGCAAGATGGTAGATCCCAGAGAAGCGCGATGTTTCCCTCCCCCCCAGCACCGCTCATCTCCATGATTTCATCATGGTACAACCACAGCGAACAGAGATAAGATACTAGAACGTACGACAGTCAAATTATGCATGTATTTCATTTTTTTGCACGTTGTGGAAAACCAACACAATTATTACACACTTTTCCATACTGATGCAGAGGCCCACTCACAGACTGGTATTGTACTTGGTGTGAATGTGGTCAGAGACCTTCAACACATGGGGTTGAGACCATAGACTGTATGTAAAGAGGTTGAGACCCGTCTTTTTTTTAATGATAGGCCTGAGGCAAACATATACCAAATATTTTTTCAAAAATAGCACCATTGGCATCAATGATCTCTAATTGGTGATGAGCTAATCATCAAATCCATCATCTCTCCCCATATTACCTCTTATGTTACCAGAGAGGAAGCACTGGCATTTTTCTTTTCTCTGCTCACATATGATCAGTGTCTGTGGGTTTGTCAGTGTTTACTAGCTTCAGGCGACAGTGAGTTGTTACTGGGCTTAAAGGTCCAGTGTGTAAGATTTAGGTGAAAGGGATCTATTGGCAGATAGTTAATGTAGAATAATCCTCATGATGTTTTCACTAGTTCATTTCATCTAAATTATATGAATTGTAGTTTTCTTTACCCCAGAAAAGTTCCTTTATATTTAAATACTTTATATTTACATTGAGGGGACCCTGTCTACGGAGGCCGCCATTTTTTTTACATTAGTCCAGACTGGACAAACTAAAACCTTTTGAGTTTTTATGACAACTGAAGCTACCACAGGTTCTTCTTTCATGTTTGGAAGTGGAGGGTGAGATGAGGGGTGTTCAGCTGCAACATGCAACTTCAACACTAGATATCACAAAATTCTACACACTGTACCTTTAAGTTGATTTGAAACAGAACCCCCATTTGAGTTGCTCAATGGATTTTCCAGTACTTGTCTTGTTCGCAGTCACAAACATGATGCCTGAACTTACCCACCTGAAGCTAATACCCAAATGTCTTTATTTCTAACCATGTACACTAGTCCTGCTATTTGATGTGAACAGCCTCTAACAGTCATGGATCCCCAATCAGACCTGTCCACTGGTTGGAATGAGTTACCACCACATTGTCTGGGTTGATTTGTAAACCGATTGTGTTTATCCATGCAGAATGGAGACCATCCAGGCCACAGTATTCACATCTTTTAGCAGTTTTTAAAATGTGTGTCTTGAAGGTCCTACCATCCTGTAACCACTGCAACACTATCCACACAGTCTCATGCAGAGAACCCACCATTTGGTTTTCTCCCAATTGGTAAGTTCAAAGAGGAATTGGGAGGAGGGGGACCATTTGAGCTCAGTGGTTCTCACCTACTGTGTATGTTGACCCAATCATTGTGTGTAGCAGTGGTTTGGGTGTGAGCAGTGATCTAATCAGCTGAATGGAATTTACATGATGAATGTGTGTTTGATGGATTTGTGTGGGTGTGTCCCCCTGCAGTTTGTCTCTGTTTTGAAGCTGGGAGGGAAAAAAGGTGTCTTCTCATACTCCTGTGTACCAATCAGGATTTAACACCTGAATGAGTGTTATCAGAATCTGATAACAGTTGTTGGGTTGTTTAGTGGCTTATTGTGAGTTTCTCAAGTCACAAATCATCACTAAAGATGATGATTGATTATCAAATCTTGAATATCAGTGTTATAGAAGGATCTTTTTTCGAAGGGCTTCAACCATGCTTTACTTACCAGAAGTGGGAATAAATGAAAAAATCTTCACAGTAAAGGTGGTGGTGGTATGTTTGATATGAAATACATTTTGTCCAAAAAATGTTACCAAAGGCAAGTTAACAATAAATATAATGTTTAGGAAAACAGGTTGGACAATTGGCTCAGTGTTCCCAACATACTTGGCTACTTGTGTAGAGTGGAGGATAGCAGTGGACACAGTTGTTTCCATATAGATTGGGATTTTCCACTGCAAATAAATACAGTTATTCAGAGTGAACCCGCTTGTCTGATGATTTTGGATGAAAGTTAGTCAGAGCTGTTCACCATCATCAAAAAACCAGGCAAAAATGGTCTTTTGGAAGAATGTTGTTTATCTCTCTCTGGTAAAGTTCAGGGGCTAAAGGTGGCTCATGATGAAACAGCACTTTGGATTACATTATTATCATGATGGGGATGTTTATGCATCTCCGTCTCACTCAGAGTCTCAGAGTTGGCACTCAAAGCAAGGTGGGCTAACACGAGGGCCCTATGAGGGATGATGTAATACCTCAAATATTCACACAACCTGTACAGTACAGTATCTGCTCAGTTATAGATAAAGGCCTGGTTACAGTTTCTGGAGAGCAAAGGGCAGAGTGACAACTTTCCACAGTGAAATGGAGGGTGATGGGGAAAGGAATACTGTAACTGGACATTTTCTGTGTTTATGGTCCTATGGGGACAATTACATGCTCTGAATTACAATAACAGGGACACACCCCCCTGGCACACCCCCTGTATTGAATTGGTGTGTTTGTGGGCAATTGTATTGACCTGCTATTTTCAAATGGAGATTCATGGTTATGTGTTTTCATCTGTGCAAGGCGTTGAGTGGAAGAATATCAACCTCTCCTTTTATGGCTCTGGAGTTTCCTTCCTAAAAATACATCTTCAGACACAAATGAGTGAAAGGAAGTATGCTTTGAAAGCATAGGCTGTTTGAAAGACACATTCCTGCCCAGTAGGTACAGTTACTAGATTTTACTTTTAGGTACATACATATTAACAGACAGGACTACTCATACACCCTTGACATGTCTCATGACATGTATGTTTTTCCCATTTCTGCTGAGTACAGCATGTGCTGTACTCAACTATTTTATAATGCTAGTCTACATATTCAAAACAAATAAACATAGGAACTCAACTGATGCATTTTAGTTCGTTTATCAGTGAGAAAATATTTGGGATGTGATCTGCGCATGTGTGCTCTGGGTTAGATTTCTACTGTGCTGACTGTGCAGCAAAGTCTGAGTCACATCATTCACTTTTCTGTCGGCTCTCTTCTGTCCTCTGCTGGCAGAGCTTCTCTTTCATAACGACCTGTATTTCTCTGACCCAGTTTATCCTCAGATTGTAGTTTCAGCAGCAACACCACTACAAGCATAACTGTAACAAGAGGGACTGGTGCTCCCTCCTCACAGATTGCTCAGTCAGATTTGGTGGAGATGTTAAAGGTGTAATCGTAACTTTCCCATCAAAATGTTAATTAGACCCATTTGTTGTTGAGTAGTGTCCTTACATCCTCTCAATCTTTTCCAATGATTTCAAACCTGGAGAAATCTGTTCTTTCATCAAGGTAACATTGCATTTCTTTCGTTCACCTGTCAGCTGCATCATATTCCCTTTGTGCATGTGTCAGTGCTGTGTTTATTTGTCATACATACATATAATGCCACTACATATCCAGTTTTAACTGACACTTTTAAATACACTTTTGAAGATCTTGGTTGTTTTTGATAGATTATAGCAGGATCTTAAGATAAACACACATGCTGAGCAAGCTCACAGCCCCTTTAAGACATCCCATGTCCATCAAACAAATCAACAGCAGATCAATGAAAACTAAAATAACTTCCTCTGGTGCCTCTCAGGTGGAATCAGCTGTATTGTTTGAAATCACTTCATTAACTTAATGAGGAGCCACCAGTATATCTCACTGTGCTGACAATGAAATAGACGTCATCGTATTTGGTTGATAAGTATCACCAGTAAAAAACACCAACCATAGCATGATTCCAGTACTTGAGTGTGTTTGACATGTCAAAAGCTCTGCTTTCTGCTTTACTGTGATGGGTTCAGCTTTACCGACAGAGAGGCTGCAGACAGCAGGGAGATGGATGTGGTCTCACTGCTTCTCATTGTGGGCCTCAAACACCTGCTGCCTTCACGTATAGAACCCTGCCTTCATCTGGACAGTGTGGGAAAATGATAGCAAACAACAGCCCGTATAACACCTGATGTCGTTCTCAGTCTTGTCAACAGGGACAAACCTGGAACAGACAGTTCAACAAGGTGTAAATGTCCTTGTACTGTATTAGAAATGTTGAGTTCAAAATGTCAAGGTCCATAAAAATACATTTTTTAATTTATACTTTGACTTTTTTCAACTTTTTTGCTCTGTTAACTGCAATTATTTTACATACTTGCAACACATTTCAAATTGTGATTTGTGAATATGGGCTATACAAATAAATTTGATTGATTGATTGACTTCAAGGTTCGAGGTTACTCTCTTGTTGCAGGTAGTTCGAAACTGAGCAACATCAATGAAGTGATTTTACCGGCTAAACAATGTCCATTCTTTAGATTTTATGCATAGGCTTTACATAATATGAGGTTCTGAATTAATGTCTTCAACTTGCCATCTGCTATAGAGGAGCCCAAGGGCACAATACCCCAACTTCCACAGTGGCACTGCACATAGTAATTTGTGTGTGTTTATGTGCGTGCGTGAGTCTGCCTCTGTCGCCCTCTACTGTCTAAAATGAACACAAAGCATAAATATTCTGTGTTACAGACCCTAGGAAATCCAATCCCAATGGTAAAAAGGGCTTCTGCTGTGATGGAAAGACGTGCACTGGAAATCTAAACTGCGAGGGGAATGAGGACCACTGCATGACAACAGGCCCACAGTGGTGATTCTATAGAAGTTCAAATATGAAGCTCACACTCTAACACCACTCACCATCTCTCAGTGGACCTCAGGGGTGAAAGGACGACCATGAAGAGCTGTGCCTCCTCACTGATGCGCTCAAGTTCACAAACTGCACAGATGACAGGAGCCATTGTGAGTACACGTGTGGGC